TGGAGACCTGGGAGACAGACAGGTTAGTGCTCTGCATTTCCACAACTCCCTGCCGCCCCGACTAGTCCTTGGAGCACCTCAACATCCTGGAAGTGGTGCTCTTGCACTGCAAGCGAGGCAACGCGTCCTTCCCCGCTCCTGGCAGAGGGGGTGAAAAGAAAAGTTTCGGAGCCATAAGATTTTCTGGGGTTGATTGTCTGTGGGTCAGGGAGGAGAGCTCACCTGTACAGTCACTCTGAGCTAGATGCTGGATTTGCAGGGGGGGTTAAGGCCAGAGCGCACCAGGAGATGGGTCACCGATACATGCCGTGACATTCACTTCTCAGCCCAGATGCTACACCCGGCCCAGAGGACTCTCCCCGGGCGGCTTTTCGGGAGCATACTCTGCCCCAGGAATCAGCTGCCTCCTCCCGCCTCGGGGAATGGCCGGGCCAAACTGCCCCAGCCCACCACGTATGATGGGTTTTACCAACCTTCTGTGGGACAGGCCATCTGGCCGGAGAGACATGCGTATTTACCGTGTGTTTCAATGTGTTTGCAACATCTATCCACAATCCGTGGGACCTGCCAGGTGATGGGGTTGAGGCTCAACATCTTTTTCTTGCCCAGGCTTCTCCGTGCATCCAGCTCGTGGGGGTGCGACAACTGCAGCGCCTCCAGTAGCTTGGAAGTGTTGTCACTCAGGTCAGTGATGGAGTCCACGGACATCGCCCCCTAAGATGAAGCAGAGGTGATTCGCAGGGTGGCAGGAACTACCCCACAAGATCCCAGTACACCGTCATTGCCGTGACCTCAGAAGTTTGTGGGAAAGGGAGGCATCACCTCCAAACGAACACAGAGGTCTACAGAGCCTGTCTGGGGGTTGCAAGAGAGCCACAGAGACACCTTTCATCTCATATGCATTCGTTTATGTGCACTGGTCCTAGTGTGAGGTGTTTCTAAACATAGCCTTCCTACTGGGGCAGACCCTACACCACACGCAGACATGGGGAAAGAGGAAACATCCCCAAATCTTTCACCTTTGACTGCGCAATATACTGGATTTAGTTACCTGCATTGGAGCTGCTTTACACCAGGGGTTACAGGCACTTAGCAAGAGGCAGGCGTGGGTCTCTACTCCAAAGAGATGAGGCAAACCAAACCCAGCCTAATACCCACCTCCCCTCGCAGGGGGGACTAAAGCCAAGAAGGTGGCCGAGGCTGACCAGCCACGCAATCTTCCTTGCCCTTTGACGCAGGGGTAGTCAACGCTGAAAGCAGACCAGTTCAGAGGCACAGCTGATGTCCCCACAGCAGCGAGGGGTCTCTCCCTGCTGCGTGGCCAGGGAGCCAACATGACCCCCCATCGACGGCCACAGCTTCTGGTGGGCATTTCGCAAGTGCGAGGCCCAGTCTCCAACCGCGACATTGCCAAAGAGGCGACGCTGTTTTGGAGAAGTCATATCTGTTCACAGCGCTGCTCACCAAGATGTGACGCAGTGGAGGAATAGAAAAATCCATGCCACTGATGATGAATCTCCTCCTATCCCTACCTACCTTTGGCTGCCCGGCCATGTCCTCCTGGTAACCTTGGATCTGTAACTGCTGAGCAAGTAAAGCCTGTCCCACCTCTCACCGTCCATCTCTTGGGGGAAGTAGGGGCATCCCATTTCCCTGAGGGCAGACCGGGACCGACCCAGCATGCAGCACGAATAACTCGCATTCCTTAAGAAAAGACCCTGAGAAACCATATTTATTGCTGAAGTCAGAGCCTCCCCCAGCCTGCAGCACCATCACAGCGCAGCCCGTTTTTGCAGTCGTACCCTTCGCTGCCTCCAGGAGCTGCTGTCGAGAAAAGTTGGGGAAAGCGGCTCCTCTGGGGAGACCCCGCAGGGTACCAGGACACAGCTCCTGCCCATCGGGGACCTCTTCTGCCTCTGAGCCCGAAATCTCATCACTGTCGTTTCCACCTCCAGGCAGAGCCGGCGGCTCTTCTTCACTGCTTCCTGCAGTTGCTTGTAGGCACGGTCAGTGGCGATGACTTAGAAGAGCGGGATCCCAAAAGTCTGAGGAGAACAGTCTAGGGAAAAAGACGGGAGAAAGGGAAAAGTATTGCTAGCAGGAAAATCGAGAGGGAGCTGCGCTAGCACAGCCCAGCTGCCAGGGACATGCGTGCACGCCTGGATAAAATAATTAACCAACAGAAGGGAATACCAGGATACCGTAAAGGTAACCACCAGCAGGAGAGTGAAGAGGACAACGTGTAAAACCGATTCAATGCACAACAAGGAGATCTGTAGCTTGAATCCAGGACGGCAGCCCTGTAACTAGCAGTGCCCTTGCGTGCCCTGTCCCCCTCCTGCTCCCTGCTCCTCCTCCAGCTCCCCAGGAGCCAGGAGTGCCTGGGGTGGGTGGGAAGAGCATCCCCAATGACCTGGGCAAACCCAAAGGGGAGCTGCTGCCCCTGGAAAGCCCCGGGGCATTGCACGGTGGGACTCCGGGTGCAGGGCAATCAGGGAGCCGAGCAGGGAGGGCACGGCGTGGGAGGTGGCGTGCTGGAGGAAGAGGAAGGAGACACAGGGGAGCTGGGAAGATGGAGGAAAACTGGCCTCCATCGACGTGCTTGTTGCAGCCTGTCCGTTTTTCCTGAACTTTCCTTCCTTTTATTGGTTACAGTCTCACGAAGATGACATAGCACCTATGAAGCGGAGACTTCATAAATCATCAGAAATATTTGATACAGAAGATTCTTACCAAATTATAACCTCCAGTTTTCTACAGGGTTTGCATCCGCTATGTCTGTTCGAGAGTTACAGTCTTGATGTTAATGACATTTTTCCCAAATAACTTTCCCCCTCCATACCTCCTTGCAGATGCAAGGAGAGCTCTCCTTACTTCCAGCCTCCAGACCACCCTGGGCCAAGGGGTTTGGCAACCGGAGTACAAGACACAAATCCATTTTGTAAAATATCAGACTGCTGCTCAATAATTTCCTTGAGTGGACTTTGTACTGGTGCGGAGAAAATTAGGAAGTGCTCATTCCCAGCTGGCTGTGCTCTACACTTCTGGTTTCCCCAGGTTTGTGGCTGACGTCCTTCAAGGGACAATAAAACAGAACTCGAAGCAGCGAGACCAGGGCTAAAATGGGCAGATAGAAACACTCATATGTGTACATCTTTACAAATGCACGTTCACGCACACACACATTCCGTCCACACACATATGCATCCCTTCCAGACTCTCTCGTGCCTGTGCACGTATTGTTACACACCACTCTGGAGAACAGCAAAAACAAGACGGGACAAAGCACCTTGCTGAACTTGGGCACCTCCCGGCTCAGCCCCATCAAAAATCACCAATTCCATCTGAGAGCAGGGACCAAAACCTGGGTAACAGGGAGGCTGCTCACCTTTCTTCTCCTTTGAAAAGCTCTCCAGTTTCTGGCGGATAGATTTACTGCCTTTAGGTCCAACTATGAGGAGAAAAGAAAGCAAAGGTTCTGCATCATTAGGCTGTTTTAGTACAGCCTCCCCTTAAAGACATTTGCCTTTCCGCACCCGCGCAGGCAGAGCACGGCCACAGGTACCTCCCGCGGGCAGGGGGACGCTGTGGGCCTGGCGTGGCCATGGCCCTGAGAGCCTGCATGAGGCCACGTGGGATGGCACGGTGGCCATCAGCTACCTGGGGGAAACAGCCCCAGAGATGGGCCACCATCCTCCCAAAGTAGAGGCAGGGACCCCTCCCCACCCAGGCATCTGGACTGGGGGGGGTCCCATGGCACCAAACCATAGCCGTGGGTTAAAGACACCCCAGCTGTGGGATTCACCCCACCTGGCTCAGACCACAGCCCTATAAACCTCCTTCCATCAGGGCTTACTGACGCCTTACTATCCAGATGTGCGATCCAGCAACGCCTAAAACTGCCGGTTAGTGCCTATGAGCCATCAGGCAGCCAGCAAATGAACCGGCGTTACAAAACAGAGTCAAAATGAACCCCAGCTGATCTTTCTGGTGGCATCCTAGCTTGCCATGCCCCGCCAGAGGGAACGCCTGGTACCACAGCTGCCAAACGCGGTCTGTGCGTGGGACGTGCTGGGAGGCTGCGGAAAGTGGCCAAGACCAGCCGCCAGCAAATGGGTTCTCACACACGGAAGAGCCGTGGAAAAACTTTGGCTGCCCAAAGGCTGTAGCTTAAAACTGTTCTGGCCACCTTTAAATTCTGTGTCCATGTTATACATGACTCTGTATTAATGCTGATGTCCTACCAATTACTTAATGACTCAGAAAGCTACCCTAATTTATCCTCAGAGGTCTGGCCTCAACGCTGGAAAAAGGAATACAGCCCCAGAAGAGCTTTTGTGAATGTTTTACAGAGCACAGACAAATAAAGTTAGACAAAACACGTACCACCAGAAATCCCGTACTGGTCCTACAGAGGCAAGCCCCGCTCCTAAGTATTCCCCACGTTGCACATCCAGGGACAGCAGTCAGCAGCGATGAGCTGAAAACTCATTCGCTGCCCACCCTAAATCCTTCCAGGACACATCACCCTTTTCTGGCTTGTGCTCCTTATTCCTGAGGAATTCTCTTCCTAGAAACAGCTTATATAATTGTTTGGGTTATTTTGTAAGATTTAGAGGAAAGCTATGAAAGTCGGTATGAGCAACATGTGCATAAAAGAGTAGCCTACATTAATTATTCTGCAGCGCCATATGTGTTGTTTCATTCAAATGACCCAATAGCAGGAAGATGAAGAACAACCGGGAGACAAAAACCACCCCGCTAAGGGAACAAGAGGCCAGCAAAACTCCACTGTGTCAGCATAGATTCAGGAGGGGTAACACAACGTGCTGAGGCTGAGCATCAGCGTAACTCTCCGCTTCTAAATCTGTGCAGATGTTCCTAAGGGAAACAAACCACGAGGCAGCAGATAGTAAAGAAACCATCAGGATCCCCCCGCCCAGAAAGCCTGAGCCGGTATCAGCTCAAAATAAAAAAAAAGGAACCAGGTTGTTTGTGGTCAGAGTCCCCCAGGGACTTAAAAGGCAGTCTGCGGTGGCTGGTGCTGCAGCCCTGGGGAAACTGGGAGTTCTGGGAACGAGAGGGGAGCTTTCTCTCTTTTACTCTTCTTGAAGCCATTTCATTGCATGAAATCTTCCAAGTATTAATTAAGACAGGAAGCCAAACTTGGATGTCGCCCCAAGTAAATACTTGCTATCCAGTATGAGGTTGAACATTTGGAAACGCTCCTTCCCTGGAACAGGTCCACAGAGACATGCGGGGCTCCATCCTTGGGAGGTCCCAGCCCCAGCTGCCCTGGGCTGGTGCTGGCGACAGCCCTGCTGCGAGCGGGTGGTGGGGCTGGAGACCCCCGAGCTCCCTTTGCACCCGCGCTGCTGGTACCACGCGACCCCAGGGCTGGTGAGCTGTGGGCATCTCCTGCCCTACTGGGATGCCAAAATACAGCCCAGGGCAGAGGAGGCATTTCAAGGTGGTCTGTCCACTCTTGAGTAACGAGTAAATTTGGGAAGGAGTCAGCTGATCCCCAACTCACTATGCTTGCTTGGTTTGATGTGCAGATGTTGGGGGACGCAGGCAGCTATGGGAACCCAGACAATGCCTGTACGTCTATGTAGGCCAGGACAGAGGAGCTCAGTCCCTGTGGAGCGTCTATATTTATCTGCCCATTAATTTCAGTCGCTTGTCTTCTAGCCTTGCAGAAGCCCCATCCCAGCATCAGGACTTTGTGTTGGACATTAATCCAGAAGTAAAGCTTGTCCCATCCCAACGGCATTAAGATAGTCCCAGTGGAAGACCTTGCCAAGTCATATTGCATCCGGTTTGGATTAGGGGGATCAGAGGCAGGCAACAGGCAAGGTCATATTCTCACACTCCTATGGACACACAAACCCTCCTCAAAAGGCTGATTAAGCCTTTGAGGCTCAGACCAAAGCAGGGAATAAAAAATAAAATGGACCAAAATGTGTCTCAGATGTCTTTCCATAAACATCATCCTGTGTTATGAAGCGTGGGCGTGGGGATGAGTAGCAATAACGGCTCAGACCTCAGCCCTCCCTCAGCAGGAGCCGTCCTCTCCCGTCCTCTACCTTTAGCCAGGCTGAGATCTCCAACAAGCAGCTTCTCCTGCAGCTGGTAGAGAGCAATCTCTTGCAGACTGGCTCTTTCCAACTCCGAAAGGCTATGCAGGGGCACAGGCTGCATTTTGGTGCTTTGTCCTGGCGGAAGAGCTGAGATAAAGGTCCTCTGAAAAACATATATATGAAAAAATAAAAGAGTCAGGAGCGCATCGCAGAGACGTCTGCTTTAGGAGAGAAGCTGCTGAAGATGCCACAGGGTGTCTTTGCAAGTGCAGGAGACACTCGGCCCTCTTTCATCTCACCGAAGAGCCAGCTGATCTGTAGGTGCCCCGGCCACACCATCTCACTTTGACCTTCCAAGCAAAGGCCTTGGAGGCATCAGGGAGCACGTGGGGGACCTCAGCCCTGGTTCCTAAGACCCCACAGGCTCCCTGAGGCACCTCAGTGCTTGGCAGAGAGCTCCCTGGCCAATTCTAGCTGCCATCTGTTTTCAGATGAAGCCCAACGCCATCAGGCTCACGTACACAAGACGGGGCACATCCTGGCTAGCCAGAGTAGGGACTGTGGTCCTGATGCTGGGACTTGGCCATTCTTCACCAGGGGAATATAGCCCCTGGCTGGCATCAGCCTCGAGACCACGCTCCCCGTGAGCAAAGTCAGGATGGAGGCAAGTCCAACCATCTCCCGACCAAACCTAGAAGGCACAACGTGTTCCAAAGCGCAACAAAAATGCGTGTGAGGGAAACTGCAGTAAGTAGCGCTTTGCCCTGCTTGGTCTGACACCGTATCCAACACGTTTCTCTTCCCACCCGGGAGCTGCTCAGCAAACAACAAACACACGGAGCCAGGGGCTCCATCCCAGCGTGTCCTCACGTTGCGCCTGCAGACCTAACCCTCAGCTGCAGGTGTGGGCGGCTACATTGGGATCAATTCTGGATACATTCAGACTTGGACTTTCTTCGCCCTCCTGCTCCCCTAAGAAGTGGCTCCTAACGAAAAGCTCCTCCTGGCTGCTGTGGCAGCCTGAGCATTTCCCAGCTCCCCCCCAGACACCCCCCTTGCTTCGCCCCTGCCCTCCAACGAGCTCCACCAAGTCAGGGGGCCTGAACCTTTTGGCATTATGTTAACAGGTCCCAGCAGCCCATCTTCGTACCAATCAGCTGAACGCTGCTCCCGGCCACCCCGACTGCAGCTCAACACAAGCAAAACCGTGGGCTCTGGGTGGAAGGGGCTTGGGACGAGATACCAGCCTCAGACCGGTCTTCGGAGGATGCTGTGCAGATGTACACCCCTCCTCTCCTTCACCCACATCCCACCACATGCTGGATGCCGAGGCGTAAGAGGTAACTGAGGAGCGGTGACCTCCTGAGAGAGCCCTGAATGGCTCTGACTCAGGCTGGTTTATGGTGGCTGTTCAGCGTGGGGAGGGCTGCGTGCACGCTGCCGCTCCCTCTCTCCTCCTACAGCGTGCTCCATCAGGTGGGGAAAGGCTGGACAGATGCTTCCCACTCTGCAGA